GGGCTGGCTGGCATGTGGTGCTGGAGGATTGAACCGCAGTCCCTGTGCTTTGCTTAGCTTAGTTTGTTCTAAGTAGGTGCTTTAGACCACTGAGCCATCTCACCAGCCCTTGATCACTCTTCTTGCAGTTATGCTCCATGAATATATTTAACCAGAAATTTGCTGATACAGTCCTATTTTACTGGGGCAAACAACACTGGTAATCCTCATACATGTATTTCAGACAGATATTCGTAGCCAATTCTGTAGGGCAAACATCCAAGAGTAGCATGGTTGGGTCAAACTGTAATTTCCATGAGGCTTAACAACATTCACACCATGTGTTTGAGAATGCTTCCAAGTATTTCCCAAATTGGATTTTTCTCTCTGAATAACTGTAGAAAATTGTGCAGTTTTTTGAGATGGGGTTTCATTTTGTAGTTCAGGCTGGCTTTGAATTATGGAGCTCAAGCTGTCAAACTCACAGCAGTCCTCCTGCCTTTGTCTTCCAACTGCTAGGATTATAAAGTGGGCCACTACACCCTGCTGTCATTTGTGTCCCTGGAGCAACTTCTATCCTTTACCTGCTTTGCTATAGTCCTTTTCATTTGCAGTGCTGGAAATGGAATCCTGGGCTACAAACATGCTGGACAATAACCCTTGAGCTACATCCAGTTCCAGGCCAGGTTTTGCTTTTTTTTTTTTTCTGCGGAACTGGGGACTGAACACAGGCCCTTGGGCACTTATTCCACCGAGCCATCTCCCCAGTCCCTTAACTGACAACTTCTGAAAGTTATTTAAGAACATTCTTATTTTATTAAATGTATTTAGTACAGGGTCTACAGGGTCTCACTACATAGATCAGACTCATGATTCTCTCATTTTCAGCCTCCCAAGTGCTGGGATTACAGACATGCGCCACCACACCCAGTCTGTCACGGTCTCCAGCACAGCATACCTGGATTGAACCCTGGCCACTGAGCTCTGCCTAAGCAGGTGCTTTAGTCCACTGAATTATCTGGTCAGCTCCTCTCATTTTATTTACTTATTTTGGAACCTAGAGCCTTGTACTTGCCAGGCAGGTGCTTATGCCACTGAGCTATCTCTCTGGCCCCAATTCTCATTTTCATGTTGCAAATATTCATGGTTTTTTCTTTTTAAGAACTAGAGACTGAACCCAAGGATACCACACTACTGAAATTTAGCCCCTTTTATTTTTGACTTAAAATCTGCAGTTTTCCTGCCTTAGTCTCCAGAGCAGCTAAGATTTTAGATGCATTCCACCATGTCTGGCCTTTTTCTTTTTTTAATTAAATTACTATTAGTTTAAATTTATTTTGCAGGACCAGGCATTGAACTCGGAACCTTGCACTTGCAAGGCTGATGCTCAAGCCACTGAACTATCTCCCTGGCCCTATTAATTTAAAATGTTTATCTTTTTTTTTTTTTTTTCAGTACTAGGGATTGAACTCAGGGCCTTGAGCTTTCCAGTAAAGTGCTTATTCTACTAAGCCATCTCCCTAGAACTCTTTTCTTTTTTAAAAATGTATTTAGTGCAAGGTCTACAGGGTCTCACTACGTAGATCAGACTTGCAGTGATCCTCCTGTTTGCAGCCTCCCAAGCGCTGGGATTACAGGCATGCACCATAATTTTTTTTTTTTTTTTTTTTGAACTGGGGATTGAACTCAGACCCTTGCACTTGCCAGGGAAGCGCTTATTCTACTGAGCCATCTTCCAGGCCCCTAAAATGTTTATTTTTTACTTTATTTTTGTGGTACCAGGGATTGAACTCAGGACCCTGTGCTTGCCAGGTAGCACTTATTCTAGTGAGCTATCTCCCCGGCCCCAAATGTTTATTTTTTTAAGATAATCTTACTGGTACATTTTAGGTATACATAGCAACATTCATCATAAGAAATTTGTACTTATATATTATGTATCTTTTTTAAAATTTTATTTGTGTGTGTGTGTGTGTGTGTGTGTGGCCAGCTCAGCCCACCAAGGGGCAGGGCTGGCTGGCATGTGGTGCTGGGGGATTGAACCGCGGTCCCTGTGCTTTGCTAAGCTTGTTCTAAGTAGGTGCTTTA